GCAGAATTTTTGCGGCATGGGTTTTCACAGGCAGAAGAATTCTTGTGGCATGGGTTTTCGAAGGCCGCAGAATTTCTGTGTCAACGCAGAAATTGCACTTCTCTTTTTCATACATGCAATTTGAAATGTTTGCACTAAAAATTTCATCCTCATCTCTTGTTTGCATGGTCTACTAAATTATAAGTCTTTATTTTTCACTTTCAGCCTCGGCTGCAACTGGAGATAATGAGAAAAGTACGTCACGCGGCTGTAGAACCGTGTAGAGTGTTTCTAGTATCCCCTATACATTTACATGAAGTTTACAAAAGTTGATCCCCCTTGTGCGAGTCGCTAAAAGTGTAGCTTATAACATCTTTTAACCCTTTAAACCCTATAAGATCAAAATCTGAATTCTCATTTGTTGACCATACGTAGGAAAGTACGGAGGAAGACTATTGTTCCGAAGCAATTTGAAACAGCAAGATTCTACACTGCTCAACCTCAAGGACCCTTTCTTAAAAGAAATCATACAGTACTAGACAAAATTTAATTACAAAGACGATAACTTCGATTTTGCATATGGTACAACTCTCACATTAGAATTGAAAATTGAATTTTCTAAGCTATAACGCCTTCATAGATAAATATAACATCAAAACCAACTATCTCGAATATCACAAAGTGATATCTGCTGTAGCACATTACAAGAAAGTACACTCTAAATCCTATCATGACCCAACTCCCTCACACCACCCTTCTGTCTCACACCAACGGTTTCCAAGAAAATTTATGAATGTCTAATTAACGAAAAAGCTTCTATACCATCAAGAAGTCAGGGAAAGTGGTTGGAAGAGAGACACATACAGTGTAATCTTAGTATAATCAGTAAACTGGGAAAATACGTACTGCTCATCATCACTGTGTACAAGAGAGTCAAAGCTTAGAGCGTTCCAATTTAAATTCTTCACAGAAAAATTGCCACAAATGACTTTCTCTACAAAATAGGTATCAAACAAACAGATTCCTGCTCCTTTTGCAAGGAACGAAAAGAAACCCTCGTTCATCTATTCTGGACTTGCAAATACACTCAGAACTTCTGGAAGAGCATGTTCGAGTAGATCTCTCAAAATTTCAAAGATTTAGAAAACGTCTCTCCTTCTTTGTCCCTCTGTTTCGATCTCATATATTGACGACGTAAAAGACCTTCTCTTTCATCACCTACTCCTTATAGATAGACATCATATATACACCTGCAGACTTGGGAACAAGCTTCCTAAGCTGCAGGTGTATATACAGGCACTTATGAACTCGAAAGAAATTGAAAAGCAGATTGCATTCCACAATAACGACTCAAACGTCTTTGTACGGAAATGATCTCGCTTTAAACATAACCTCTCACAAAATCTATTGCATTAACAATAGACAAGAAGCGTAAAAAGTAGAATCCCTTGACTTGAAAATATCTTGTATGACTTTTTGTGTGATTTTATTTTACTATGTGTATATACTTTTTGCTTGATTTATTTGTTTATTTTAGCCTCGTACCTTTCTGTTTTTGGTGGCAATATATATTTTTTTGTTTAGTCATACAAATTAGTTGCATACTCGAAACCTCTCCACGTTTTTCAACTGCTTTGTAAAACGTAGAATCCCTTGACTTGAAATCAAATATCTTGTATGACTTTTTGTGTGATTTTATTTTACTATATTTATTATACCCTATATGTTTGTCAATGCTTGTTGTGGCAATAAAAAAAGTTATTAAAAAAACACTTGGATGACGTGGATACAGGGGCTTAGCGTGGGATTTTGCAGATGTACGCACGAGAATAAATTTTTCCTAAGCGCCGAAGGCGCTTACAACTAGGGGGGTGTGGGGGCATGCTCCCCCAGAAAATTTTGAAATTTAGGGTCTCGGAAATGCCATCTCCTGGTTTTTTAGCGGTGCATTTTCAATAAATAATGCGGTAAAAATGCAGTAGAAAGTTGTTTATTTTAACCATTTCCCTAGTGTTTTCTGTAAGCTACAGTGTCCCGAAAAGAAAAAAAAAAATACAAAAACAGTAAAGACAGGTCACAAGCAGAGGGCGAGGTGTCGACCATTAAGACAGGCAAACTCCGTTACCAACCTGTCAATATCCACGTTCTTATGTTTATGTATATGAAGGATTGCTAGGGAGCTTAATTTTTCGTCCGTCATTGTACTTCACAGAGGAGATTTTAGTCTCTTTATGCTACTGAAGCTACGTTCGGAAGTGCATGTAGACACACGATAAGTTAACAATGTTACGAGAGCAACATATACACCGGGATAAAATTGGGAGTTTGCGTGGTCAAGAGTCTCAACCAAAGTCTGCGGCGTCACATTCGGATCCATGCCACTCCATTTGTGCTCCCATCTTGTGACTTCGGTTTTAAACTCATCCTCAGAATTTATGCCTACGTACCTTCAGCTTCTTCTGCACGTTGTTCAGTTGTCTTGTTAATTACGTTGAAGTAATCGTGTATCGATTTTCGAGCCATGTGTGTACTCTGTGTCACGAAACACACGAAGACACTACAGAAGCCAGTGATCACGCTCATCAAGTCGCAGAATTATTCATAGGATTCTCTAACAGTTTCTTCGGAAAATCAATCACTGGGGCTTCACTGTTTGACCTCACAAGTATATTCCTAATCTCTGTTGACGGCAAATACGTTTTGTTCTGAAGCCACATGTCATGGCATAGTAACCTCTCCTTCAAGAATACCTGCGGGGCTGGGGAAACTGGTGAGGCTGGCTGACCTTGAGGGAGGGGTACATGAGGCGTTTTTCCTATTTTTGCTTACCACTCAAATGCATTTTGCCATTATTAGTGGCCAGCACTGAATGATTAATGCTTGGATAATGAGAATTCTGATAAAAAACGCCAGTATAATGTGAAAATATGAAATTATTAGCCAGCAAATTTAATGAGAAACAAGAATCGCCGAAAGGCGATTTTTAACTGGGCTGCAAAGGGGCTATTTTTTCTGAGGGGAGGGGGCGGCTATACACACTCAGGCTACCATAAAACCTTGTCGGCAACCATTGCATGCAACAGAATCTCATGTGAGACTGAAACATAAACTCATTCAGAACATTGTACCCTTTTGAAAGACTTTCGTAACCAAAAAAAAAGAGTACCATTTCTAAGTGGGGGCTGTATAATAACTTTTAAATTCCACTATTATGAATAAAAATAAACAAGTTAGCCATCAATTCTAAGCAGGAAACAATTTGCATTATTTCCACGCACCCCTTCCCCAATCCCTCTCTACCCCAAAATATAGCGTGACAGTATAACGTGACTAATATGACATAACCGGAAATTCCAAAAATTGTTGTCCTTCTACGAGCATAAAATGCGATAGACTGAGCTGATTTACAGTAGACAGAAATATTGTATTGTATGAAAACCAGAAGTATACTAAAACAGACAGTTAACTGCCCATTGATCCCGCCTGATCCAGGGGCCTCACTGACTGCACGGAGACTTTACTGCGCTTTTCACAAACATGCGAACTCTAAAGTTCAAAAGCCACCTTCACAATTGTGTTTATCGCTGCCGTCAATCATAATTACGGTCACAAGCAACGAATCTTGAAACAGAGAAACACACAAAACGGATCGAAATCCACAAATCACAAACCATGACCTTTTGAACCCGTGAAGTAAAGTTTTGTTTCCTAAGAGGTCCGTTAAGATGATTGACAGCAGCGAAAAATGCAATCGTCGGTTGGGTTCTGAACTTCAGAATTCGCATGTTTGTGAAAAGTGCGATCCTCATTTGCGGTCCACAGTCTACATGAAAACGCACTATTTTTTCAACAAGATGAAAAATATTTTTCTCTAAGTTAAAGGAATAAAATCCTTTGCATTTTGAGACCTAAAAAAGTTTAAAGATTTCTCGCTCGCATGTTACGTTCACCAGCACGCACTTCAAACAATGTAAATAGATGAAACGATCGATAACATATTTTTTACCTGATACCGATGCGAGTTAAAAATTCGCTCCAGTTCTGTTTGTCTCACCCAAGACTAACTTTTCTTCATGGAAGATAACTATGCCGCTTTATAACTCGTCCGAAGTTTTTGTGCCAGCTAAACAATATGGAAACACTATTCACAGTGACTCCTTGGATATTAAAAAGACTGAACGTGACGCACTATTATGCCTTTGTTTACTTCAGATCACATCTTCAAGCGAAGTCTCTCTCTTTCAAGCGATTCATCTCAATGAACAATAATTGATCCTTATGTTAGTTAAAATCCTATGGTTCATTTATATTAATGCTGTTTTTGCCCCTCACATTTATGGGGCGCCAAATGTATTTTTATTATTTAGAGTGGTTATTTGTATATAACCAAAACAAGAGTGGTTATTTACAAATAACCACATTACAGGTTTATTATTTCTAAATAACCAAAATGAAAAATTGGTTATTTGTTAAATAACCAAAATGAAAAATTGGTTATTTAATAAATAATCAAAATGAAAAATTGGTTATTTAATAAATAGCCAAAATGGAAATTGGTTATTTAATAAATAACCAAAATGGAAATTGGTTATTTAATAAATAACCAAAATGCGAAATTGGTTATTTAATAAATAACCAAAATGCGAAATTGGTTATTTAATAAATAAACAAAATGCGAAATTGGTTATTTAATAAATAACCAAAATGCGAAAATGGTTATTTATTAAATAACCAACGGCGAAAATGGTTATTTATTAAATAACCAAAATGCAGGCAGAATGGAAAAATTGGTTACTTATAAACAAACTGGGCAATTGGTTATTTAGTAAATAAACGAACGTGGACGCTTAAAAATCCAAAAATGTGCAAAAGTGGTTATTTACCTAATTTGGTCATAACAAGTGACCACATGGACCATGGCAGCCTCGTTCCCAGTCGTCCTCGGCGATTTCGGATGTGACGTCACCTGGCCCATTTTCCCGCTCATTTCCCATAATGACCTGCAGCTTTTTATTTCCAACATGGCTTCTTCCAACGAGGATGAAATTGTGGAAAGAATTTCCGCAGCAGTGCGGAACGCTCTTTGTAGAAATTCCCAGCAACAGGTACGTGCAAGGCTAATTTAATGGTTTTCTGTCTTTGGAAATGTCTTGCATGCCTGAAACACACTTAAACGTCCGAAGGAAGACATGCGAACGAACTTGATGTTTTGTGTCTTTTGTCCCACTGACATAACTATCAGGGTTTATTTTGAACACATTTTCGTACCCTTGACTGTTGATGTTGTTTGAGTCGATTGTGTTTTTCTTCCCGTGGTAATGCTACAGTTTTGCAATTGGTTTTAGGATGAACATCATTCACTTCTTTCTGGTGAACAATCACCTGCAGCCAGCGTTCAGTTGCCATCCTCCTTTCTCCAAGGCTTCAGGCAAAACCGTGAAAGGAACGTGGAAAAATCACGATCGTATTTCCCAGCGCCTAAGCGAAGACGAGCTTCTTCAACAAGATCGACACAAGCGAAATCCAAAGTTGTCACCAAAGATGTAGTATGCCTGCCATTTGAGGAGGGTGAGATCTTTGCCATTCCACGAGGAACGCGAAGGGCTCAGTTGGCAGAGTTGGGCCCGATTGGTAAAGTGAGCCTTAATAATACGTGGGACAAGGCAGCAGTTGCAAGTGAAATCTCGAGTATATTTAGGAAAGCTTTTCATTTGGAAGACGATGAGGAAATGCCCTTTCAGTATTTAAGGTACGTTCAGTCAATAATTACATAATTGTCGGGGTTTTCTTTAACCAGCTGTGAAGCTTCTAACATGTTGTAGATTTAATTCCACCGTCACTGAATTAATGCTGGCTGGTAAGAAAATTACCCTGCTCGAAGAATGATAACAAGACTGCTACCTTAGTAATATATTATTAATCCAAACTTGTCCTAAATCAACTAGCATTCTATAGTTGTTTAATCCTGAAGCTTCACACTTTCTATTTCGTAATAGAGTATCAAGTGGTCAATAATTTGTTTTAAGAACTTCATTTCAGTAAACTGAAGTAGACTACAAGGTACTTAAGATTGTAGTAAGTTAGTCATTTGTGCTTAGAATTACCACAAATGACTAAGTCAATTATTGTCTTTATGAATTGTCACTTGTTATTTTTTTAGCATTGTACCTGGGGCAAAAACACTAAAGCAGCCAAATATCTCCACATCATTCAAATGGAATGCCCCTGAAGTACTTTCGTTAGCATCTCAGGGAGCCCTGTACATCATGACACACCTTCCAGTCCCAAGTTCAAAGAAGGAATCAACATTGATTAGACATATTGTTGCAAGTGACGATGAAAATAGTGACACTGATCATTTCGAGGTAATTAGGTTATGTATTTGCTTTGTTAAAATAATTATTGTTTTTGACCTCCCTGAATCAATTTTCCAAATCCAGAGGTTGACTTGGTTCTGTAAATGTGTTTCCCTACATGTCCTGTAAGTACCCCCAGCTTCTGTCTAATTTGATTGATCATGCCTCTTGGTACATTTAACAATGAAGCAATGTCTCCCTGACTCTTTCCACTAAAATTCACTGGACTCTTTCTCTTACCTGTGTTGGGATCATTACACTAAACTGAAGTGTAAGTCATATCCAGCCTTAACTTGTTTATATGTTGTTGAAGGTACTTGGTGGCTAAAAAAAGTATCTCCTATAAATGCCATTGAATGCTTGCTTTGTTTTTGTCTTCAGTTGCCTTTGGTTAACACAAAGGGCTGTTCTATATTTATCTCCTTGCAATGTGTCATATCCATTTATCATTTTAAAGGGATATTTGTATAATGGTATTTATTACTACAATTTGTTATCCTATCTGGCTTTAACAGAACCATGGAGACCATAATACATCAGGCTGCCAGTTTAACTTTCAGTATCATTTATTTCGATTTATATTCTCAAGCTGGATGTTCCCACATTTGATGGGAGCTTAAGTAAATCAAGTAAATCAAGCACTAAATCACCACCATTGACTGGACCTTTGGCAGAGTCATTGGCTGGACCCTCTGCTGTGTCTGTAACTGGGTCTTCTGCTGTGTCAGTAGCTGGACCTTCTCCCGTGTCAGTAACTGGACCTTCTGCTGTGTCAGTGCCATCTGTCACTTCTGCTGCTTCACTGATGGAGAATTATAGGTATTTGCACAAACTTAGTCATTGTAAGGATGGTAGCTTCATGTGTATGGGCTTTCTGCTAGGGTCTAAAAAAATGTTGTGTAATAAGGAAGTGTCCTCATTACATTAATATGGTAGAAGGGTATCCATGATTGTGTTTTACATCATTTTATGAATTTTGATGAAGGTATTACAAACCTTTCATGAATTGAAACAACTTACAGTAATTGCTTCAACCATTTGCCACCAAAATATCACAACCTACTATTGACAGTTTCCAAATTTATTAAATCAGCATTCGCCAATATGGTTTCAATTATATTTTATTTATTTTCTTTTTCATAAAAGAGACTAATTTTGCAATTGACCGACACAATAACTCAATAAACCACCTCAGATCATATGAAGGAACCAGCATTGTACATTGTTACTTGTGCTATCTGACAACACACAAGTTCTGAATTGACTACCATAAATAAATACATATTATTTTCATTCGTATTAACCTTTGTTTTTCCAACGTTTTTGTTACCTTTGAAGGTCAGCAGATGAAGTGTATGCAGCACTGATATTTGATGAATTGAGTTCTGATGAGGAAGTGATCATTGAAAACGAGAAGCCTCCGCCACCCAGTGTTGAAGTGGAAACTGTCCAGGCAAACATCACACTGAGGGAGATTCTTCATAATCTTTCATCAGTTATAAAAGATACTGAAACATCAAAATTTAACATAAGTAGAAATCATATATGGGAGGGTGCAAAAAGGGCACTTAATAGGAAATCATTTGACCCTCAAAACAGAATTTCAGTAAAGTTTACTGATGACATGGGGATTTCTGAAGGGGCTATAGATCTTGGGGGTCCAGCAAGGGAATTTTTTACACTTGTAACAGATAGGTTGCTCAATTCCCATATGTTTGTTGGGGGTGCTTTTGCTAAATTCTTATCACTAAATGCAAGGTGTTTAGAGGATGGGGAGTATTATTTAGCTGGGCAGATATTTGCTTTGTCATTTGTTCATGGTGGTCCTACATTGAAATGCCTCTCAGATGTTTGCTATAATGGTATCGTGAAAGGGGTTCAAAATGTGAATGCTTCAGTGAATGATGTTTGCGACTATGATCTAAGAATATCTCTTGAAAAATTACTGAATGCCTCAAATGTACAAGAGGCAGAAGATATTATCAATGATGCCAAACTCGATTTACTGTTTGATATGGCTGGCACATTTCAGGTAATTAAAACTACTAGTGATATTGAAAACCTTGTTCAGAAAACTGTCAACTGGTATGTTTTGGGAAGAGCACAAGCGGCGTATGAAAGTTTCAAGGAGGGTCTTCGTACATTGGGGGTAATGGACTCAATTTTGCAATACCCACAAGTGATGAGGGAAGCTTTCTGTTTCAAGCCTGACACTTTGACTGTCACTGATTTTGATGACATGTTCTCAGTTGCACGTGCATGTGAAGGATCTAATAGAAGGGAAGTTGAGAACCTTGTTCTCTCTCACTGGCAGGACTTGATGCGAGACTGTGAGGAAGAGTCAGCTGAAATAACCCTGTCGGATATCCTGTTTTTTGTATCAGGATGCAAAAATTTACCCCCCCAGGGACTTTCATGTCAAATATCATTTCTGCATGAACCTGATGAGAAGTCAGGAATACTGTCTAGATTTCCCAAGGCAAGTACATGTTCTTGTACCCTTTATCTTCCTGTAATTCATAAAACTTATGAAGACTTTAAGGAAGCTATGAGTTATGCTGTTCAAAATACCCGCGGTTTTGGAATGGCATAAAAGTGCTCTACATACAAGCATTTCATGAGTATAAACATGCAGTTTCTACTTCAGTTCAGTACTCAGTTATGTATAAAGGTTGAAAGATATCTGTTACAAAATGTTAGGTTGATTTTAGTATGATCTAAATAATAATCTTATTATGCAGGGCTATCACTAAAGACTATAGGAAGGGGATTCTCCCAGTTTCTATAAGCATAATCCCCAGCAACTTTTTTCATAGCAAACAGAAAGAAGTAGAACCAAGCGAACTTACCAAAACTAGCTAATCAATTCCCACATAGTAATGATATTACATTTTTCAGTCAGTCCCTTAAAATCTTGGAGACAGCCCTGTTATTGATCATTTCCATTAACTTCTGTTTTTATCTTTTATAATGCTAATTTTATATATCTATTGCATATAAACTCGTTGGTTACTGTTACTGTGTGAAGTCACTGTCATTTTTAGATTTTTTCGAATTTTTCCCCTCATTGACATTGATGGTGTCTCAGTTTATCTCATTTGATTATCAGCAAACAAGACACTAGAACACCAAGGTCTACAACCTCTCTTTGATCATGTGTTAATGTTAGATATGCATCCAAAAAATGCATGTTACGAACTTGAAGAACTGTCCTGGAAATCCTTTCCCGACCATGTCAGCAGATAACAGTTTGATGTTCAGCATGTATTTTGTTTTTCCTACAAGAAAATGATGCTGCTGTACTGTTAACAATTAAGAAAGTTGCAATCTTCGTTAGCAATTTGGTGCCTTGTTGGTTGAAAGCCAAATAAAGACATTTGACAGCTTTAACTTCAACTGAAGTACATAATTTTGTTCTTTAATTGTTAATTATGGTATTTGCCCTGTCAGATTTAGAGGGCATTGTGAGACTCATTTGGGCACCTAGGCCAAAGAGATTACCAGGTAGGGTCTGTTTACGTGAAGGTGGGGGACGCCAGGTAGGTGAGGTAACATGTGGTGGGATACCTAACATGTAAACGTGATCACATTAAAATAAGAGATTGTATGGACAGGCGGGTTACATCACCTACCTGGGGTCCACCACCTCCATGTAAACAGGCCCTTAGATATAATCGATGTGAAGAGCATCACTGCAGGGACTAAACCCTAGACAAGATGCAGGAAATAGTCCCCAGTAGAGTCTATAGGACCAAAATGGATAATGCATGTACTCAAAGGGATTTATAAAGTAGCATGGACCAGTCAATGGGTGTAAAATCCTGTTTTGCGGACTGTTGTTAATGTTGCTTTAAAATGTAACTTGGAGTCTTGGACTAATAGCAGACATGGAAATGTTTGGGTTTTTTTTGTTATACTCTACACACAATGCTCAGAGGATTTCCAGAGATAGGAAATAAATGCACTTCTCACTAAATCTGTTACAAGAGGATGAGTGTAAACTACCAGTATACAACACATATACAACTGCTGTTGCCTCTTTTGAAAGGCTTATGTTGTGAAACTGTAAAGTGCACATCTTGAAGGAATAGAAATAGAGATCCCACTTGTTTTTCGGAGATCAGAAACACTGCAAAGGGAGGTGGACCCTCCTCCCTCCCTTGCACTCCTCACTGACCCTCCACAATGCTCTATATTATGCTCTGTAATTGGTGACAATTGCACCAAATGGCCAAATTCTTTGGTAAAGAGAATCCTTATTTGAAATATCCCTTCAGAGAATTCTAACAATATTATCTTTTTTGCAAGAATGTCTACTTAAATGAAATGGAAAAATAAAATCAAGAGGCATTATTTTAAACTTTAGACGCCTAATGTCTTAATCTGAATTACTAGTAAAACACAACATAGGTCACTCATGGTGAGTACTAATGGTAGAACAATTGTTAAGAGCAACATCCATGGAGCACAATTTCAGCATGCCTAAATGTATTTTATTTTTGAAGCTGTCATGCCACCTATTTTCCCTAAGGCTTCAGTAGTCGTGATAATTTCTGTTAGATTAGTTTTGTGACAAAGAATTTCTAGCACACTCAATAACTTGCTTGTAGAGGTCTATTCTTGGAGTATTCACAAGAGGATTTATGTCTCCACAGAGATTCTCATAGCATTCATCATCTAGTGGGCTGCAAATAGGAGAAACTTAAACAAGTGTCTGCCTTGTGAGGAGGTTTCCAGCCCCAGGATCTTGCCATTCGTGTGTAATACTGTGAAGATAAGCAAGTGCTGATTGTTGTTATATAGTTGCAGTGGAGTTAGGTTATTCTCTGTAGAAATAGAATGATGGATGTGGGGATTGACAAACTCTTCCAGAAGTTGATTTTTTCTAGGAACATAGACATAATGTAAGCAAAATAAATCTGTGTTATTTGAAGGATCCAGGAGACCTTGCTACTCTAACCCATATAACCCCGCCTTGATGACATCAGCACCATGAATGTTTAAATCGCGTTTAAACCGCTCTACTCTTTGGTCGTGAACTGAACTTCCTGTGATTACTGACATCTCCCCTGCTGGTGATTGATTAACCATTTGTTTGCAAACACGGACGTTTTCCCCTACTTTGTCAGTTCGTACTTTAAATGGTCTTTCATACTGACTGACCGCATGTTAGAACAAAGTTAAAACAGTCTGGGATCTATTGATGTTACTACATTGACAATAGATAATCAGTCGGCTAAAGCCATCTATACCAACATGTATGACAAATCGCCAATGAATAAGTTTGATTCCCATCGAGGTGCCACATGAAATTTGGGCACGGTACAGAATAAACACAATGGCAAATTCTTCTACACCTATGATCATCAACACCTCGGGGATCTACGCGGTGAATGGACTCACGTACACAGTTTCGTTGAATGATTATTCCTCTAGCCCTTAAGTGGCCAGTAATCATCACTTCTCTGCAGTGTGGATGCTTATTTTTGATATCTCTTACTACTCTATCCAAATCGTCATTGTCAATACTGGAAAACCGGTCTTTGTGCAAATACACAGTTGCTTCATTCTAGAATACAAAGCTGATTGTGATACATCACATACTTCTGCAGTTTGAGACACAGAATAACCCATATTTAGGTAACCTTCAATTGTTTCTTTTGATAGTGATATTGGGGGACGGCCAACAATTCCCTAAATAAAAACAAAGAAAATGTGTTCAAAATAAACCCTGATAGTTATGTCAGTGGGACAAAAGACACAAAACATCAAGTTCGTTCGCATGTCTTCCTTCGGACGTTTAAGTGTGTTTCAGGCATGCAAGACATTTTCAAAGACAGAAAACCATTAAATTAGCCTTGCACGTACCTGTTGCTGGGAATTTCTACAAAGAGCGTTCCGCACTGCTGCGGAAATTCCTTCCACAATTTCATCCTCGTTGGAAGAAGCCATGTTGGAAATAAAAAGCTGCAGGTCATTATGGGAAATGAGCGGGAAAATGGGCCAGGTGACGTCACATCCGAAATCGCCGAGGACGACTGGGAACGAGGCTGCCATGTGGTCACTTGTTATGACCAAATTGGGTAAATAACCACTTTTGCACATTTTTGGATTTTTAAGCGTCCACGTTCGTTTATTTACTAAATAACCAATTGCCCAGTTTGTTTATAAGTAACCAATTTTTCCATTCTGCCTGCATTTTGGTTATTTATTAAATAACCATTTTCGCCGTTGGTTATTTAATAAATAACCATTTTCGCATTTTGGTTATTTATTAAATAACCAATTTCGCATTTTGGTTATTTATTAAATAACCAATTTCCATTTTGGTTATTTATTAAATAACCAATTTCGCATTTGGTTATTTATTAAATAACCAATTTCGCATTTTGGTTATTTATTAAATAACCAATTTCCATTTTGGTTATTTATTAAATAACCAATTTCCATTTTGGTTATTTATTAAATAACCAATTTTTCATTTTGGTTATTTATTAAATAACCAATTTCCATTTTGGTTATTTATTAAATAACCAATTTTTCATTTTGGTTATTTAACAAATAACCAATTTTTCATTTTGGTTATTTAACAAATAACCAATTTTTCATTTTGGTTATTTAGAAATAATAAACCTGTAATGTGGTTATTTGTAAATAACCACTCTTGTTTTGGTTATATACAAATAACTACTCTAAATAATAAAAATACATTTGGCGCCCCATACACATTGACTGTGTTCGTTCGTATTCAAAACACCTTTACGAAAATAAAGGTCGTATAAGTCATGTGTGTTATGTTTCGAGATAAATGGATTATTCGCTTTTTTAAGTTTCCATTTTGCGGTGACTTCAGTTTACATCTCCATAAAATGGTAAAAGAAATATCAAGAAACTTCACGAGAGCTGAAAATTTTCAAAGGCATGTTTCTGAAACTCGCTAATGCTGACATCAATATAGCGTGCTTGCTGAATGGGCGAAAACACAGAATTGTGATCACAAGATCTTGTACAAATTTAATGATAAAAGCTTAGCAAGGTACAGATACAAACAAAAGCAAACCCCCTGAAACCTCGACGTGGGCTACACTTGTATGCTCTACTCAGTCACCAAACCTTGTCAGTAATAGCTCCTATTTTCCTCAAGTCGCTCCCTGTGAAGCTCCCGGATGGGATGTCCCGGTGAAGCTTTAAACTTGCGTGCGAAATTCTCAGAGTTCCTATTTTTGTCCGTGTCTTCTTTATCCTCAGTATCCGAAATTTAGACCTCCAAAGTGGCGTGTGTTGCATTAATTAGAAGGAATTATTTACAGGAAAAGCCAGTCTTCTAACATGGCAAAGTTGTCACGTCCCTCGCTCATGGACGTGCGTCACATCACTGCATCAGGATTCATCTGCCATTCATCGGCAACTGAGTTGTTCGCTTCACTGACTATGACGGCTTACAATCAAGTCTTCAGCCATAGTGTCGTCAACTGGTGAAATACTTTGCTCATAAATTGTGCTTCTTAATTGCTCATGTACTACATCGATCGATAGTTCACGAAGCGGCCACGGCGTTCCAAACCTGACGCTCACAGTCATCTTTTCAGTCTTCTAGTGTGAACCTACCGTGAACGGCGCGTCGGTTTGAATGCAAAGCGAGCATTTCTCTGAGTTTCCCAGCGCCAACATCATCTAACGGACTTAAACTCGAACAATAGAAAAATTTTAGAGTGACTTCCATGATCGAATCACTTCGAACAACACAAATAGCCTTCTTCAGGTTTGCAACGCCTTGTGGGTTTTCCAGGGGGAGCGCAGACGAGGTACAAAAAGTATCCGTGCAAGGCTCCGTGCAAGAGGAACTCATATGAAACCATTTGTGAGAACATCGTTTCTCGGTACCAGATCCTCGTGTCTTCCCTCCCCCGGGAGACCACTTTTCGACACCGACGACCGAAAGCCCATTTTATGACTGGGCCGCACAGGCAGCCCAGTAAAAAAGCCTTCCTCAAAGACAGCTAGTGGCCTAAAGTTCGACTTTCAATCAATTCTTCTTCCAGAACTGTCACGCATTCTGTTCTGGACTTGTATTGGAGCATTGGCTGTTTCCTTACTGGCATTAATCATTGCTGGGTTGTATTTCCATCACAAGTAAGTACCCGGATTACAAAAATACGACTTCTTCTTTACAGTCTGCTGTATAGGTGTGAGTGGGTGTTTATGCTGATTTACAGTTCGTCAAAGCGTACCAAAACAGTTTCGGAAAATTTTTTGTAGTTTTTTAAATATCAGTGTCAGGAAAGTTAAACATTTTCCGCTGCGCAATTTTCATCCCTTCTCAGCACTCATTGAGTCCCCTTTAGCTTTTCCTAGAATGTAGAAAGACATCCTGGAACAAAGCTGAGACACCAATACAGGAAAAATTCGCCCTGTGAGACTAGAGCTCCCTACTATGCTTCTTTTCAGTCGCAAAACAATTAGGTAAATAGGTGCTGTAGAGTATTTTGAAATGAAACGATTGATGAAATCTTTTTACAGGTTGAAAGGAGCAGGTAACGCTGGGAAGGCACGAACCACGAGAAATGGATATACTTCGTACGATGGCGTCTCTACATTTTAGCGGAGCTCCACCCGCGTGCGAAGCGCGCACGTGGACAGAGCTCCATAGCTAAGGAAATGTGGTAATCTACCCATCCCAGAAAATTTGGTAATCACGTGACCGTACACCGAGCGAGCGAGCGACCGTCCGTCCGCACCACAGGCATACCAATATAAAATAACTCAATCAACAGGTATGGGAACCCAAATGCAACTCAAGGTTTTATTTGGAGGGAAATCACATGGCCGCCCGGACTTTTAGAGAGAAAAAAGTTGTCTCTTTTTCGGCGTTATTTTTTATGTGTACACTAACGTGGATAACACAGAAAGAGCTAGAGCGAGTTATTAAAAATTCGAAGGAAGAAAAACATGATAATTCAAAGCGGCGGTGAGAAAATGAGAAATGTTAGCGGCCAGCAAGGTGAAAATGAGCGGCAGTGAAAATTAAAAGCGAACATGAACACTGGAAACAAACTATTGGGTAAGCACATACGACAATTTCTGCATAAAAATAGTGTGTAACTAGGAAGTTTGACGTTTTAGTCGTACAAAACAGCGTTGTAGTCGTGCAAAACAACGGCAAGGGAAAGACAAAAAAGCGTGCTGCAAATTTGTTTTTTGCTAATTAGAAGAAAAAGTGTGCTGCATGTGCAATTTGCTTTTAGCCCTGGCTAAATCTATATATTAGAAATTCTAGAACGAAGCCGAGTTCTGGATGATGCTAAAGATTTTCTCTGCACGTTTAGGTGTATATGCAAACAAGCTGCCGGAAGTAGTGAAAGTTCAAAATCGACCACTCTTTGAAAATTACGTGTCTAGTGAGGACAGTTAGGAGTGCCCGTATGTAAAGTTACGAAACAGGTTGAGATCAGAAGATATATGCTGATTACATGTATTACAGTTAGGGCACTTTCCAAAAGTCAGAACTGGCCGGCAGGACCATGGCCAGACCAGACATTTTGGAAATGAAATAGGCTTTTCCCAAGAGGTTTTGCTGAAAAAACATCTCCTTTTTCTATAATATTTAGGGTTCATCTGGATGGTTAGTTTTGGTTTAAAGTGAAATTCGTATTAAGATGGGAATGGGCTAGTCTCTCTCGCAGCCGTTTTTTGCATGACATCCAAAAAACGGCTTTCAAGGGAGACTAGGAATGGGCTGCAGGGGCGGATCCAGAATTTTTTTTAGGAGGGGGTGCACTCCTCTCTTGCTCTACTTCGACACCAATAAACCACATAGTTTGTTTTTGCAGAATACCAGTTGTATTAGAAAACCGCAGGTCATCTCAGGGGGGGTGGGGGGGGGGGTGCGCACCCCCTGCACCCTCCCCCTAGATCCGCCCCTGGGCTGGCCGTTCATTTCTGTCAAAAGGAAAGCGACGTTGGTCTGTCAAGGCGTTAAGGTATTTGTTGACGGCGCGAAAAAGAGAACTGAGCGTAAGGTCGGGTTGGGACGAGGGAAATTGAGGGAAAATGATTCGGGATACTTACTTCCATGAGTTTCGTTTCGGCTTTGTCGTCGGAAAGCTCTCCGTCACGTTTCCCGCTCCTCACTACCTGAACACTTGAAGCAAGGAATTTTGTGACCTTGTAGAATGGCATAATACCGTAAAATTCCGAAAATAAGCCCCTCCAAATATAAGCCCCCCAAACTCGTAACGCAAAAAACCCTCCGTTAAATCACCCCTCCAAATATAAGCCCTCCCCCCCGGAGGCTTGTACTTGGAAACTGCCCTCAAATACAAAGTAAATCAAAGTAAAAACCGTAAATTTCCTTCCAACTATATAATAATATGGCTAGCCCAATCGATTTTGAAATGCAAGTTTCCCTCCATAGACAAGCCCCTCCAAGTATAAGCCCCTCAAAAAGGGCCTTTGTAAAATATAAGTCCCGGGGCTCATTTTCGGAAGTTTACGTTATTACATATTGACCGAATGTTTTCGAACGCTGCAATAGAAAAGAGGACCAATCATCCTTGAAATGCAGTTATACAATGATTATTATCGGACAGCCCATTTGCTGACTTGATGGTGGTTATCTGTTATTCGGAATTGAATTCTGCAATTTGACTGCTAAATAGTAAAGACAAATTAACGTCATCGGACTACTTCTGACGTACTTTTTCGTATTTAAATTTGTGCAGCAACTGTGTTACTTTGCATGTGTTTTTTACTTTTTTACAGGGGGGAGGGGTGGGGGAGATGAATCTATTGTTTTCTAACTATGTTTCTTGACACCCTGGACGAGACATGAGTGTAAGCTCACACAGTTACATGGGAGAGCTTCGAGTCGCTCGCGCTAAAGGTGATGTTACACCGGACGATTCGCATCGACGATTTTTAGTGCAGTGCAACACAGCGCTGCAATGAACAGTGTTGCAGCCACTTGAAACAATGTCGCAACAATGTTGCAATGCTGTGTCGCGCTAAAAATCGTTGTTGCGAATCGTCCCGTGTACACTAAAGTCATTCGAAAAAGAGAGGTCGCGGAAAAGATCAAACGCCAGTCAAATATATCTATAGATCGCTAACTTTATCGTGTGTGAGCTTTGTTGTTGCTTTTATCTGCTTGAGTAAACTGTCTTGATATTTTATCTGTAATTGTATAATTTTTCAGAGTGGTATGGCGGGCCGTGTTGAGGGATCGCCATCTTCTTTACGGAACTTGGAAAGTCATCAAAAACTACTTCGTTTTTTATTTTCCTTTAAAATAGGCAACGTCTAGTCTCCAGAATGGGAGGTTCTATTCACAGATTACAATTGTTTATATTCCACACACCGCACTTTACTAGTATCAATCTGTTCGAGTGTGGGCCTCTGTTGATTTTTTTAATTCTCCATCACCACAACGAGTGTGAACGATTTCTTGCCGCTCTGAGTCAGTGTCTTTGCTAACTCTCTTATCTAGATCGATCGGCCCGTTGAACCCAAAATAATGCACAAGCTAATTTTCTTTAAATGTACCTTTGAATTCATGATAAATACAGCTCCACCCCTTTCACACCCTGTCTATGGCAGAGAAAAATTTAAATCTACTTCACCAAAAGATGAAGGGCACCGTGAAGCAGTGTATGGTCTAGAAGTCACCTGCAGATGAACCAGGTTCGACTTCCGGTGAAGCTATTTCCTTTTTCTCTGTTGTGTTTTAATCCTATTTTTTCTCTTTGGCTAGTTTCCCTTTATTCTTACTGTTGACCCTTTACGGCCTCGCGAGACTTTTAGCGGTAACGTCTTTCTAGTAACCTTGGATTCTTGTGTGGTTTGTTTATGGGGGTTTACGTCGTTCGAAGAGCAGGAAGTGAACTTTGAAGGGATTGATATAGGGATCCATTGGCTCTGCAGGGATGAACTAAGCTCCCTTGGTTGAAGCCTGGTATATCCTTTGATGAACCTACGATTGCTGTGTCTAAATTCCTGATTTTGGACGTCCACCGGACCTTAAAAGTGTGACCTGCGATATGACTGCTCGGAAGATTTGCTCGACGATAGAAATAAATCTTTAGAACGCATTACACCACTGGACGTTTCATCCGAAAAAAAGCCCCAAACACTGGTTTTCCATGACAATAGGGATCTTAGCATCGTCAAATGTAAGAAATCGGAAAAGTATATCCGTGAGAAATTCGAAATTTTTATCCGTCTCTTCAACGAAAACTTTGCGAGTGCTGGCCATTTTAAAAGTCACTGACGCGAGAGGTGACGTCATACTGTCTCGAAGACTGAATCACTGATTCCCTTAGAGACACCTCCCCCCTGGCTTTTTTTTTATTTTTTATTTTTTTTGAAAACGAAAACAAAGGTCTACTATTCGGATAAAACGAACGTTTATCATCGCATAAACTGGTAAGTGTATACATAACAATTATTCACCGAAGTGGATGTGGCCAGTGGTTATCCACCACTAGCCACCGACACTGAGGTGAATAATTGTTTTAGTATATACTAAAACAGTGAGATAATTGAGCACAAAAATGATGGTTTTTAACTATTTACTGTTGCCAAAGATTACATTTTGGCGCGCAATGACCGAACGGCCGCGGTCGTCGCTTTTTCTTGCCGACAAATAAAACTTTTGAAGGCATTTGTTTAGCTCTTGCGGGGAAATTTCTTCAAAAGGAGTTGTGAATTCTTTTTGTATTTAAAATCATTCTGTAAAAAACATTATTAAATTTAGTTTTAAGCTTATTTATGAACAAGTCAACAAAATAAAGTAACGCAAGACTTAAGCGAAATTTGCATTTGTAAACAAAAAACTTTTTCACCGGTTTTATCGATAAATCAGTCAAGTTAAAAAGACAAAGCTTTACCTGTTAAAACTTTCAAACCGAACTTCGTCACCTTCTTCGTGTATTTCGGGAACAGAGTGCTTGATTAGTTTTCAAATTTTTTTGATTGTTACGGCAGCAAACCGGGAAGGCATTTTACTCGAAACTTACGCGAGTTTGACGTCGCTCGCTCGGAGGAACTGGAGGTGAATCAGTGAATAGTCCAGGATATTCACTGACTGAGTAGCCAACCAGAGCGCGTGAAAAACACTACCACTGTTTTAGTATATACTAAAGCAAAATACTAGAGTATAAAAAATTCAAGTGATTCACTTTGAGCAAAATGACTATTTCTCAAAATTCTTTTGCACCACAAAACTAAATTACCTTAAAGGACTCACTTGGATTGTATTGATACGTGATGAGTGTGTACAGCAAATAAAGCGTAAACACAATTTTTTTATTTATTTAGTTTATTTTATAGACATAAAAACGACAGGGAATAGAAAATGCGATTTACATGAGCGTAATATCCATTTAGCAGAATCATTTTGCAACACAAACCTACATTACCTAAATGGACACACTAAAGCTGTACTGTAATATGTATATTTCTTCTCTTTTCATCCCCCTATCTTTTGTAAGACGAAGTACAGTCAAACCCCGCTGAAGGACACCCGCTTAATACTGGCACCTCGTTATTGCGGATAGTTTGCTTTGTTCCTGGGAAATCTGTTATACCCGACAGTTGTAGAACGTTCCAAAAGCAAACATATGTAGTCTAGTCTCAGGCCACCTGGCACAATCAGAGCCTGTAGAGGTCCAGAAGCATATATACAGACAGGTTTTACAACAGATTATCAATCATGGTCAGTCCGGTCTGACACTTTCAGTTCAGGGAGGGGTCCCAGGAGGTACTGCAGTGCGGCCACTGGGTCCTTGTTTGGTGGCACATTTCCTTTCTGTGTAAAAATAAAAGATAAGGACAAAACAGTTAATTAGAAAGTGGCTGCAATATTTCAGTAAAATGCAATACACTTTATCTCCGCGCGATGGCTACCGCCTTTGCGAATTAATAAAGTAAAAGTAAAAGTGAAAGAATAACTAAAACTGAAAACGACATCCTTTCTTGCCTTGGGCACGTCTCGCTCTGATTTCGTAGCCTTAGTCGCAGATGAAATCTAATCACAGTTAGAGTTTTCAGAAGTTTAGTCCCGTCTGTGGCGCTGGTTAGGTAGTCTGCTACACTGCCGTTTTTAGTGTCGCCGCGGAGGAGCGTTGCATGACGACACTAAAAACGGCTGTGTAGCTGACTATGGCGCTGGCTAATTTCAAAAAAGCCGATTACACATTGGGCAACAGAATTCCCGGCAAAATAATTACAGACGTAAACACAAAAAGCAAACACCCGTTACAACGTAATCTTGGTTTTGTCAGCCTTAACAATACAGTTTGATCGTATAGTATAACTATATAACAAACTCTATTGCTACGTCATCGCTCCTTTTTGTTGGTTAAATTTAGGCTTTTTCTGTGGTGTATAACCTCGCTGCTTTTTTTCCAACGTGTTTGGAACAATTCCTCTGTTTAGATGGATGCTAAAGCCACGATGCAAATGGACAACCTCCCGCGCGAGACGCAGTTTAAAAATCCAATTGCTATTAAGGATATCTTAGGGCTCAGAATTGTTCAATCAAAAAATCTGATAAACAGCTACTGTGGTATCTGAGCGAGAGAAACAATTACATTAACCTTTTAAGCCCTAAGAGTGATCAGTATCAAAATTCTCGTTGTGATATCAATGCTTTGTTATGAGAATTAAGATGATCACACAAGATACAATGAGTTGATACTTCAACAACTTCTCGCCACTACTTTTATAGGAAACGTACAGGAACAGCAAATGGGAATTTGAATTTTGATATTAGGGCTTAAAGGGTTTTAACAAATGAGTTACCATCATGTTCCCCATCAATGTGTCCATGGTATGAACAACCTCGCATGCAACTCCAGATTCACCAGTTTGACACGTCCAAGGTAATGACTCAAAATTCATGATGGTGCATTGCTGGGCTTTCTCCCCCAGCACGTGACGAACTTGAGACTCAAACTCTGGGTTTCCCGGAAAACCAATTATAATGGTGCCCGGTTTAATGTGGGGTGCTAAAACCGCTAAATAAACTTCATGATAGGACGCATGCATCATAAATACCACCATCTCAGCATCTCGCATGGCGTCTTCGGGATTCTTTGTCACCAGATCTGGTTTGGATACAATACCAGATGTCTTCTCCCCTTCAAAAAGAAATGCTACCTCAAGTTGCTTTTGCTGCATTGCAATTTCCCAGCGCTTTGCCTCATCGTCATGTAAACTAAGCACTCGAACGTCAGTATCCTTCCGAGAAGATGCAATACAAGCAAACACGTGTGCTCCATCTCCACTTCCACAAATCACCAGCCTCAAAGTGTCTGTCTTCCCTCCCTATATGAATTTAATGAAAAGGAAGAAATCAGAGCTTACATTTCAGCGAACGCATTCCCTCAATCCGGCATTCCATGTTCTGATTCACTTGAACAACGCGAATAAAATACAATTCACACTAATGAAGTTAAACATTAAATATTCTTTTCAAAAAAGGCATGGTTCAATCGAACATAGTTGAAACGTTTTGCTAAACTGTGCAATTGTAGTAAAGTTCATGTCAAGGGTGTTTCTTTCTTTTGACTAAATCAGTCAATATCAAAACTAATTTTTAGCAATGCCGTTTTAATTTGTTATCGATTTTGTCCATAAGTCGCTTTTATGAAACATTAACGCTTGAAATAAGCTTAGAAGTCGAATCCAGATTTTTTCAAAATATTGCCAAATTTGCTATGATTTTTTTTCTCATTTGACAAGTTATATGAAATGTTTGACCGTGTTTCATAAAGTCAGTAAAGTAAGAGCGTCATGTGTTATGACAGGGCTCAAAATAACAGCCGGTCAAGGGACAACGACCGACCAAGATGACCACTTGTTCGGACAAACTTTCAGGTGGCCGGTTATTCTGACCCTTCAAGTACATGGCTTTCAAATAAATGAATTCAAATAACATTACGTTCCACCATATTTTTTCCCTATAATAACACAAGTGAAACGCAAGAAGCCGCATGGTTAAGTCACAAAAAGATTTTTTAAGTGCAGCTTAGCGCTGCTATATACACCGATAGCCAGAATTCTTTGTCACAGATATTTTGTCACAAAAATAGTCATTTTAACGTTCGCGATAGATGCAATCAGCCTCAAACAATTAAGCGCGCACACATAGCGGAAAGAGTTTTTCTTTACATTTCTTTTCAAGCTAAAATGTCTGAAAATTATTTAAGCCCTACATGACAGTTTGTAAAGTCGCCACTTGTTATTGAGAAAATGTAACTGTGACGTACAAATAGCTTAAAACTTCCTAGGGTTCCAGCAATGCCTGCCAATCCAGTACCACCACCAATGACAGCAGTCGCCGCTGAGCCAATAACTCCAGTTGCACCTGCACTCTGACAAAGAGCAAACAGACTTCCGGCAGCCACAGATCCACCATAAATAGCTGACTGTACACCTGCTGCGATAGAACCAGCAGCTACTCCAGCGGAAGTAAATCCAGCCGCACCCAAAGCAGCACCAGCAATCACTGGAGCAGCTAGTACACCCGAAGCAGTAGCAGCCACTCCTACGGATGCAGCAGTTACAATCTTCTTGGCTGTGTTTGAGGAAGGCCTATTTTCTGGTGAAAAAAAGTTGAAATAGTATATCAAACTTTAGACAAAGTGTTTCACAACAACATCAAGCACCAAGAAGAGAGTTGAAAATACTACACGAAGCGGAGTATTTTTGAAAAAGTTCGAGGTGTTTGATATTGCGATGAAATAGTGTGCCGAACACTTGTTCAAAAGTCTCTAAAAAAATGGCTTTAGAACGAAAAAATAAAAGACTGTAAAAAAGAGGAAATTTTTCATCTGATTTCCAAAGGCACATTAACCATAAATTCCTTTGCATTTTCTCATCAATCATCAACAAGAATAACAGTAATCTACATTTTCTTGAGGCCATCCGCAAACCGATTCCCATCCTCGGAGACCAAGGGGCAGTCAATCGGGTCGGCAGAAAGGGCGCGACGAAAGTTTTCAAGTACGGGCGAAAGAGCCCCTGGGTACCGACTCTCACATGACTATTTCCAAAAATTCAAGCCGATGCCGGCTTCTGATTGGGCACAAAAAATGCTTTGTATTATTGTGCCCAATCGGCGAACAGTTTCTCCTGAGTTCCTTTCGTGAGTGCGTACACTGCTTGGGACGACTAATTCTCATAGGAGCTTTTGACTAGCTGAGGCTCTCACCTTTGGTCCAAGGTGGCCCTTCATTCGCAAAAGTTGCATCCTTCTCCTTTGGTTCATCATCTAATTCCTCATTTTCCACATCCTGTAGTTCCACCGATTTCTTCTTTTTGACATCTTGGACTTCCTGTAGAACAAAATCATTCTTCATTCCTGTTACTTGGTAGACATGAATTGTCTCATCAAGAAAAAGTTTACCGTTATTCGAAGTGCGCAAAATATCTAGTACACAGTGAAAGGGAACAGTCATATGACTGACAAATTTGCCCAAAAAACAGTGGGAAAACCCTTCCATTTCACGAACTGAGCCATTGTTTGGAACTAAAAGGGTTAAATTACATCCATTCTGAATTTACAAGCTATATACAGTAGCTTCTTTTTGGGCTTCCTCGCCACTTTATCTTTTACGAAAGTTAAGTTACATAATATTACGTTTAATGTTGAACAATTAATTATTGTAGTTCTTCCTGTCCTGTAAATTTGTAACCTTTAGTAAAACATTTTTCTGTAATATTTGTACTATGAGGCAAATGTATAAATAAATAACAACATACTACATGCCTCTTGGGGTATTTAATAAGCAACCTGAGGGTGTTTCTTCTTGACAGTGGAGAAAGACTGAGAATAATTCATGACGAGTTGGTTCTCGTACAGTACAGTGCATGTATGTTCCCTGGGAAATGTATGGGCGTGTGTGGCCGAGGGATCAACTCCTCGAACTCCGGATGTGGCAGGAGGTCCGCGGATCACGTTTTGTCCGTCGGGTTGTTTCCTTAGACAAGGAACTTAACTCCACTTTGTCTCTTCACCCAGCACACCCGTAGGGAGGGGGGTGCGACAGGTGCGCTCGCCACCCCCTCCCCCTTACTTCTCTTCGCTTACTTATATACATTTTGTCCTTAAGGAGTAAAGTATTTTTTAGGGATTCGTAGAACAGATCGAGTAAATGTTTTCTTGCCGCTTTTCTTTTACTGGGAGGTCATGTGGTCTTTTACTGTTCAGTGGCTACCTATGGTTTATCTTTGTTCCATCAGGCTTGCTGAAGGTGTTAGTTTCTCCTTTCTTTTTTATAAAAGTGGCTTAATAATCTTTAGGGTTTGTTTCCATAGTTTCCTGAGAGCTGGATCGGAATTATTACTTTCTCAGTACGTAAGAGGTTCCCTGGTATAGTTTTGACCGAGCTGGACCCCGTTTTTTCGCGTTGCTTGCAGGATATTGAAACTCCTATTTAAGCTACGCTACGCTTGTAGTATAAAAAAATTGCACTGCCACTCGGTCAACAGTATTGCTTGCATCAGTCAACTCCAACTCCTTTCATGTAAATTAGAATAATGCAAGTCTTAGGACTGGAGTGAGATGATGTTATCATTTCTCCCTGCGGTTATTGCGACGTTTGCTAGCTAGGGAACAACATCATTTTTGTGGCGAGAAAAGTACAACCGTTCTGACTGGTTTAATGTTGACCTTACACACTTATCAGGCCCCATCAAGGACCTGAAATTCTCGTTTTCCAATTGGCTGCTTAACAGCCAATTACAGGAGCCACTAATGGGCTCCTGCCAATTACAAGGGCTTGATCTCGGATCCTCTTTTCCTTACAGGAGATGAAGGTATACATTGTTCCTTTTTTGCTTGGCCCTTTGTCTTTGGGGATAGCTTAAAATATCCGCTGTTTTCTGTGGCCAAAAAGTAGTATTCGCGCCACAAGAGAGGCTCTCTTGACTGGTTCTTGTACACATCCACTGTCCAACATACATTGATCTGAAAGAGGTCTTTGATTGATCTATTTCTAAGAAACACCCAAGGAAGCTTGAGCTTGGCACACTATTGAAAGATCATGATGCAAACATCATGCATTAAACCCTACGAATAATACGGATTTACAATTTTCTTTCCACTTTTTATTCTTTTTAAATAGTGACATACCGCGTTGCCATTCTAAAAAATTGTAAAGTAAAGTACTCTATTTCAAAAAAAATTTCTTTTGAAGATTAAAAGTTTAAGAAATAGCCAGTTTTTCAAAACGCTCGAAATGCAGTCTCAGACAAACCACCCCCCCCCCCCCCCGGTCTCGTTCGGTCCGTCTCCTCGTTGGATCACTACCCATATGCAAATGGGCTTTGGCCAGTGTGCGCCTTTACCTTTACCCTCCCTGGGAATTAAAACATTGCAGAGTTATCTGACTTCAGCCAATTTTGAGAATCACTCTTGGAAACAAATTACCTCAGCAGATTCTCCTGATCCAGTGGTGTTTCCAATGTCCGACTCTAAACCTTTAATAGAGGAAAAGGTGGATTAAGCCATTATAGATTGTTCCTGAAAAACCACTAGGCTTACGTAATGATACGGGTAAGACGGGAAGCAATTTTTTTTGTTATGGTGCCATCACATAGGAATATTCATCATTTTCACACAGAGAATGCATAAAACTACAGAGGCAGGTTACCAAATAAAACGTATTTTAACTCCATTTTAAGACTTTTTTTAAATTTTCACCTTGACCTGCACAAAAAAAAAATGAACACTTGACTTACCAGTGGCATTTGCTGCAATGGAGCTGATCCCTACCAAAACTTGATGCATCTCTCCAAGCTCTGAGCTCATCATTTTGGTTTCTTCCTTAAGACCTTTTATTTCAACTTTGAGGTCATCTGGGGATTTCTTAACTTCAACACCTTCCTCATACCACCTCTTTAGTTCCTGAACATTCCTTTCATCCTCTTTTGTAAGAGGAGCTGTTAAAAGATTATTGATGGCTTTCTGCCAATTACTTTTTGTGGTTGAACTGATTTGTCCTGCAATTCTTAATAGGGTTTGTTTGATGTAATCCCAAAGGAAGTTAAAGTCATCATCTGTGATCTCCATATGATGCACATGTCCATAGACTGTATTGCGGAAATTTTTTATTCTCACTAAATCTGCAGTAAGACTTAAATCACTTGTTGCTGGTGGAGCATCCCATCCTGTAGGTGGAGGTGTGAGGCCACAAATTGTCCTTAGTAATTTGAACAACAGAGTGAGATCAAAATCTCTTGACTCACCATATACTCCTGGGGAGGGATAAAGACAATCTCTCTGAGGTTTAGTTAGTTTTGCTCTGTTGAGCAGAATCTCTATGGCAGGATTCCTTAGTCTTGCGGGAAGATGACTTGGTGGGCAATGATGGTCAAAGATTTCTCTGAGCAGACTGGTGCCGCCACATCTTAAGAGTCGTGTCAGGCGTTGAAAGTTTTCTTTTACTGCTGTAAACAATAGCCAAAAAAGTTAACAATTTTGCATGTTCCTCACAAAGGATTTTTGTGTTAGACAAGATTTTGTTACAAGGAAGTTAGTTAGAAAACAAATTAGGATTATCGTGTGGCACGAAAGTTTTGCTGGAGATTATTTTTTCGGATTGGCGATTTTTTGTGTTTTGTGGGAACTAATTTTTGCGATTAGGACAGATTGGTTTTTCTTGATGGGAATTGATTTTTGCGATTTTCAGAAATCACCCAGAACTCAGCATTGATAATATTTTCGTTTTTATTGAGTGCGTGCAATATAAATACATATTTTCAAACAATAAACCAGTATTTCGTTGTATACCGTTTTATTTCTGAATGAAAGAGACAAGTTGTGATTGAACAGACACGATTTCTTGGTATTGTATTTTTGTGTAGCGAATTTAAGTTAGAGAATACAATGTATTTTTTTGCGGGAAAAATGTTTGCGGTAATTTTTATTTTCGGGAACTTATTCTTGCGGATCGCTGGAAAAATAGCAAAAATTAGAACCCGCAAAAAGTTCTTGCCAAACGGTAATATACACGCTGCTTTGCGAAAAATGTCGTAAACTTTGACTGTGTTTAAACCAATCAGAAGTGCACTGAGTAGAGACGATAGTGAAGCGCTTTTTTGCTTTCTGACATGTTTATTACCTTTGGTTCTTTTCTTTTTATCTGGAACATTACTTAAAAGTAATTCAATCGGGCCAGCTTACCGTGACAATTTAAGAAGTAATTTTTACATTCTCTGTACTTTTCATCTGAGATACTTGTAGTAAGTATTAGCTCAGTTAGGCCCAGTGTCTTCAGAATCTCTTCTGTCACCAGGTGTTTCTGTGCCATTTCATTCAGGTGACCAATGCAGTAGTCGTCCCACAAATCCTCAAGGATCTCCAGAGTGCTGCACTTTACTTTGATTACTAAACTCCCACAGTGGGTGTCGACAATTAGCACTTTGCGCAGTTCAGTGAGATACCGTACAAAATCATTTAACTCCTCTCGAGACGAAGGGTTAACATTTACCAAGTAATTGGAAGCAACTAGATTTAGAATTGCTTGTGTAGATGGAATGCCATTTTGCTCGCTCTGCTCTGGATTAGTCTGACAATCAATCGTCAAAGACAGAACTGTTTAAAAAGAAATATTATAAATAGGGTTGTTATGGTTACGAGGGATTACTCTGATCAATAATTATTGGCTCCATGCAATGGCATCAGAATACCTGCACCTGGACCCCCTCGGTATTTATAAGTTTAAAGTAACTGCCATTACTTATACACATCTTAGTGAGAGAACCCCACGGTATTAAGATTTCAAGGCTACAAAACTCCCGCTAGGACAACACATTGCAAATGTCAACTCATTATTTCTCGCTTATTGCAGGTTAAAAAACATATATTAAAATATTTTAAACCACCAGTGTTTAATCTAGACCATTTAACATGCAGTCTCTTGTCAAACACATGACCCTAATTATTTCATCATTCCCACATGTAGGGTCCATACAATTTTCTTGTTATATTTAATTTGCATGCAATTATTTAAGAGTTAGAAAATCCTTTGGAAATAAAACTGGCCTTGTGATGTATACCTGTCTCCTGTATTAAGTGGTCAGTTAACTTGTTAGTCCCGAGGATGAGCCCTGCATACAAGTTTGACTGTATGAAGTGGGCAGAAAGTACACATGAAGTGTGCAGAAACTCAACTTGCAGTGGCCGATTTGCCGCTCAGCAATTAATCAAGCTAGTTGTTCGATTTGTGTGCAGTGTCATTAACTCATAGACATTCCCATTCTGTTGCTAAATCAGCCTATAATATCTCCCAGGTGGCCTCTCTAGATCTGTCCTTTACATGAGAACAATACAGGGAATCCCACCTGGGGCAAAACAAGGTTGATGGTGGGATTGGCAGGATTTTCCCTTGAACATAGCTGGGATCGTGGGTGTTATTGATGGGATCCAGCCTGGCTTTTTTACCTCTGGCAGCTCCCACACCATGACACATTTTTTTCCAGGACAATGCAGGACAAGGAGGGCATGGATTGGATCCTTCATGGGCCATGAGGAATTAAGGAGACTGTAAGGGACTGAGTGGGGTGTGTCCAATATTGAACTTAGAAATCTGACATAAATCTGTTATGAGAATTGACGTAGATGCCAGTCGAATTGACCCATCAGGGTAACATGTTTTAGCATATGAATTATTTTCACACGCAAAAATCAATTTGCCAGGGTAAGCAAACCTTATCAGGTTGGTAGGCCTGAGTGACAAGAGGCCTGTTCCAGGCTAAGTGAAAAGACTTTAACAACAGTTTGCCCAACGGACAAGTATTCTTTTTAATTTTTATCTCACCCTGTGAAAGAATACTGAAAACTTCACTTACCAGTGGCAACTGCAATGGAGCTGAACTCTTCTACCAAAACTTGATGAATGTTTCCAAGCTCTGAGTTCATCTTTTTGATTTCTTCCTTAAGACCTTCTATTTCAACTTTTAGGTCATCTAGGGATTTCTTAACTTCAACATCTTCCTCATACCACCTCTTTAGTTCCTGAACATTCCTTTCATCCTCTTCTGTAAGAGCAGCTGTCAAAAGATTATTGATGGCTTTCTGCCAATTACTTCTTGCGGCTGAACTGATTCGCCCGGCGATTCTTAATAGGGTTTGTTTGATGTAATCCCAAAGGGAGTTAAAGTCATCATCTGTGATCTCCATATGATGCACATGTCCATAGACTGTATTGCGGAAATTTTTTATTCTCACTAAATCCGCAGTAAGACTTAAATCGCGTTCTGCTGGTGGAGCATCCCATCCTGTACGTGGAGGTGTGAGGCCACAAATTGTCCTCAGTAATTTGAACAAAAGAGTGAGATCAAAACCTTTAGACTCACCATATACCCCTGGGGAGGGATAAAGACAATACCTCTGAGGCTTAGTTAGTTTTGCTCTGTTAAGCAGATCCTTTGTGGCAGGATTCCTTAGTCTTGTGGGAAGGTGACTAGGTGGGCAATGATGGTCAAAAATTTCTCTAAGTAGCCTTGTGCCTCCAGAAATTAAAAGTCGTGTCAGACGTTGAAAGTTTTCTTTTCCTGCTGTTGTACAAAGGACTGATGCCGCACATGCCATTTCACTTATTGTTACTACCCCACTTACATGGCTTTATATATCAATCTAAAATATCTGCAAAAACAAAGTACATGAAAGCAATTGGTCAGATCATTTTTTTTTTGCGCAATGGTTTTTACTGAGAACAAGTCTATAATCTCTTTTGTGGGAATATGGGATTGAGTGGAGTCCAGTTATACATTGTGATTACTAAAATGAAAATTATAAAATAAATTTTGTCTTCTGTGACCAAAGTTATTTAACCACTTGTATATGAAAAAACACAGAATTGGATTGTTGAGTCAAAGTTATGGTACAATATACGAAATTATGGATGTTTTTTAATATCTAAAACTTTAATATGAGAACAAGAGCTATTTTCTGAGATACAAAGAATTGTGCTATTACCTCAGTCTGCAAATCTGAGAACTGGAAGATTTTCTCTGAGCAGAACACTCTGAGGCAGAAGATAAAATACTGCAGAAGTTGGCATCTCTAACCTTTTCACTGCCAGAGTAAAATGTTGGAGTCCTCTATTAGGTAGTACTAACTTTTTTTACGTCTGTGGACAAAATGACCATTCAAATGAAACCTCTCTGTCTGTACTTTCAAATGGTGCTGTATTTGTTTTCCCAATTCTACAAAATGAAATTTGGGAAATTTTTCGAATAATTGCCCTTGGTCGCACTTGGCACTAAAGGGGTTAAAGTGTATGCAGGTACAGATGTACCTTTATTGCCTTTCTATCTAAAGTGTGCGTGCGTCATGTGTCTTTTCCTGGAGGGTAGCAGCCTCATATAGCCTAGTGTTAGCTGTACCTCCCCCAGATATTTTTCCTTTGTCAGGGGGAGGGTGTGGCTACATGTAGGCTATTTCTCAGGGCCCTGTGTATTCCATAGGATCCCATTAGATTGAAACAGGAGGAAATGTGCAGCTCCCTTTCTGGTGAACACCCTTGCCAACTCAATTGTAAGCAGACTGCATTGCTCGACCCATTTAATTTTACTGATGTAAATCCTGTGGAGCAGGCCTGAAAATAACTACATCCTTTGGGGTGGTGAATGGTAAAATTAGAGACTCAGACATGAAGATCCCAAGGCCCTTGCTGAAAATCCAAGCCCAAGACTTAAAACTTGAGTCTGATAAGACCTTTTAATTTGTTATGCCAAAACCAAATGGGAGAAGTGGCGAGAGATTATAATAATAAAAAAACTGAACAAATGAGTATGCAGGGCATGACAGAAGGCTTACAGTAGATTATAAGTTGAAACACATATCCTGTCTTAATTATATTTTCCTCACAGAGTTTGATGTATGTAACTTAAAGTGTCCTTAATAAACTCTGAAAACCTACTCTTGAAAGCCACAAGACTCTGAGATCCTTACTGCAAAAAACTGAAAACTCAGTTGAGACAGGAAAAAACATGGAAAATGAAACTTTGAGCCTTGATCCTCCCCAAAACACTTCCGATAGATCAGGCCGAAATTTTCTGAGAGCCATGTTTCTCGAGGTGCCATTCACAACCCCTATATACAGGAACCCGTACGAAACCAACAGATCTGCAGCAGATCTGTTTTACGAAAAACAGACTAGCTACAGACCAATTTATCGTCTGCAATGTCTGTTTTCAGTCTGTAGCAGACGCATTGCCTTCATCGTCTGCAAAGATGTTTTCCTGCAGATGAGAAACAGATGAAAAACAGATCTGCACATGATCTGTGAAGTCTGCAGAGTCTGTAAGCCGTCTTCATTAATTTAGCGCGCATGTTTATCAATTCGAAACAGGCAACTAATGTCTCTCCGGTCGGGTCCATCCGCTGCTTTGTCGATAAATTTAAACATAAGCTTCACCCAATTATTATAAAAAGCGTTGGGAAATTACCTTACTTTCATTTTATTTTATTCGCTCTCAAGACTTACGTAGCTTTTCAAAGTACATTCATGAATACTGCCGGTAAATCAGTTTCTTTTAAAAAACATGACTGAGTACTTACCAGTTTTACACAGCAACATTAAACGAACGCCATGTGCCTCATCGTTCATTACAGTTAAACTTAACTCAAAATAACATGTTACGGACATGGAGTTTTAAATTCATGTAAATTCAAAATAAATCTCAAAAATGTATTCTTTGGAGACCTTCCGTGACTGATACGCGATCAGGTAATTCCCTGGAGACATTCCAGAACTTAATCTAATTGGTCTGCACTTTACTCGAAGATCCTATCACTCATCTTCCTCACGACCGTTTTTCTGCTTGAATGAAATATGCAATCGGTTTCTCACTAACTAAGCAAGTTATTTGTATTCAGTTTGGATTCAAAAAGTTAAAAAAAAGGTTTTTAGCTGTTTATAGAGCGAAGATGGAAAAAGTATTGGTTAAAAATCAACTGTGCCTCAAGCGACTCTCACTGAATGGGAAACAGACGACGCTTACGTAGGAATGAACATTATGTTGCAAGAGTCTTGATCAAAGATTATTTGCTCAAGTTATGTATGTTCGTTTAGTCCATCACCCGGAACATAGCAAAAACTGAACCACAAATGAATTGCTCCATTCATAAAGAAATGCACCTCATTGTGGATCATGGAGGAAACGAAGAGGGCTAGGTGAGCGACTTGAAGTGTGGGCTAATAGCGCTGCGTGTTACAAACCAAACCATCGCGTAGGAACCGCATTCATGTGATTGAACAGTTGCGTTTCCTCTCTTATAGCTCCCGACAAAAATCCTTCTTTGTTATTGAGCTCGGTTATTTCAATGTCAGCATTTTGATGTGTTATTCATTGAAGAAATTTAAGCGAGTGACTGTGACTGTGTGTTTACAGGCCAGATTGTTGTGATTTAATTTTGTTTCTCATACCCGCGAGCTGGGACTTCTCAATGTTCTCTTGTTTTAATTTTGTTGTTTGCATTGTTTTATTACTAAAGTGATAGGCACTCAGTTGTAGTTAACGGTTATCCTAAGCTTTTTCGGCGCAATTTGAGAGAATATTTTATGTATTTACGATAAAAATAAAAGGTGTTTGATTGGTGCAGTACGTCTGTTATTGTGCTTACTATTTATACCTCCTTCGTCTGCAGAACGTCTGCACAAATTGCAGATCATTTCTGCAGACATTCTGCAGACATTTTGCAGATATTCTGCAGACATTCTGCAGACAATTCGCAGATAATCTGTTGATGATCTGTAGACTATCTGCAGATCTGCTGCAGATGTTTCAACAGATCTGTAGCAGACTAAAAACAGATCTGCTCGTTTCCTACGGGAAATCTTATCAGAATGCATAGTTTCTACAATATAAATACTGGCCCTTAATATTTCAGTTTTGTGTGAAACACATAATTTCATCTACATAATTTGCATTATTGTTCACACAAAAATGACCATATGTGTCATATATTTAGGTTTGTATAACAATACCTCTTTATGAACTTAGAAATTACCGTGTGTAGTATGTGTTATAGATAAAATTACATCCAGGTTAAATTTTTTTAGCCTAGGTTGATTCTCAATTTCCCTTGTCTCCTAGCCCTAATTCATGAATAATTAGTGCTAGGAGACAAAGGAAATTGATAATCCAACTACGTAAAAAAAATTTAACCTGAATTTGATTTTGAACTGCAACACACATGTCAAGTTTGTGTGAACTTAAATTAAAAATAAAAAAGTGTCACATTATCTTTAACTTATGACAATTTAAAGGACGTCGAGTATACACTGGAGACAACCAAAATACCGGTGCTGTCTTGAATATCAGCAGCTGTGACTCCAGATAACAAAAGCGATAATATTACAAAGGCGATGTTGAATACACATGCAAAAAACTAAAGTATAAAGCCCACCGCATGCGATCAAGTTCCACAATAAAGCTGTTCACGATCACTCCGTCATTTGTCTTACTTTAGACTCCGAAAGGAGACATCCTTGGTCAAGATCAATGAGCCACCGAAAACTTGTTCTATCTGTCTCATCATCGGGTCGAGCTAATGGTAATTTCATTTTTAAAAATAATAAGCTTATTGGACTGAAGGCAACTGAGATGTATGTAAGAAAAAGAGTTCAAGTCCAAACAGTCGACAACAGCGACAACGATTATACAGCAAATGTATGGATTTGACATACCTTTGAAAGCTTTGTCACTTGGGGAAAAAAAGTCAAACGGAGCAAACTTCACAGAAAAACACCACAGAGCAAAAAACAACACAACATCGTTCCAACGTGGTTTCCGTTTTGTAAGGATTTGATCACATGATCACGCATGCCAAAACAACCCAGACTCCAGACTCGCAGACTGACAGGTGTTTTTCTTTCGTGCGAACGTACGTCAAATTTACGCGCGTATTAAAAAAGAAACCGGAGGCATGAAAGGCGCGCGTAAACGTAGAAGTTGAGCGAGATTCAACGTTTACGTTTACGCGTGTAAATTTTACGCGCGCGGTTCGCACGGAAAAATTACGCGAAAGTAGAAATCCATTTTAAACGAGGTAAACGTTGTTGGGAAATGCCCTAACAAATTCCCTATCCCTAAAACGAGCCTTCTAGAAGATTTAAAGTTTAGGGCTGGAAAAGCTGTTAGATTTTACAACAATAGTTACCTCGTTACCATTCCTGCAGCATTTGCGCATGCTAGTCTGCAAGTCTGCAGTCTGCGTTTGTCGCGGTATTAATCGGCATCGCGTTTATGGTAACCTGAGATCAGGCGTTATTATTATTGTTTTTTGTTGCGCCTTTGGTTCTTTGGCTCGAGAGGAAAAAAATATAATGCACCTGTCAATGTAATGCCGGCGGGGGGCGGGGAAGGCAGGGCATGGGGTGGGGATTTGACTTTTTTCAAAAATTTGCAATTAAATTCCCTGCCCACGGGCAAATCATTCCAGTCAAAATAATAATTTGGGACACAAATGGGGGCCGTCCAAAAACTTTTTTAGGGGTAAGTACTACATGGTAGCACACCATATAGTCGTGTAACATAAATTAAATGAACACTGTGTACAACGTCTTGTAAGTAGTACGCATTTCTCAAAACTCCTCTTTTCTCCTCCTCGCTTGTCCCTTGTGTCCTTTTATGTCCTTTTATGTACTTACT